ATAGATAGATAGATAGATAGATAATAGATGATAGATAGATAGATAGATAGATAATAGATAGATAGATAGATAATAGATGATAGATAGATAATAGATAGATAATAGATGATAGATAGATAGATATATAGATAGACTGGTAGAAGAGACTGGTATGAAATGGATATATAGAAAGATGAGAGATAGATATGAGATGATGAATACACACTGTATGTATTATTATAGATACATATTATTGTACAGGGTTGAGTTTCGATGTAGATTCCGTGATTTGCGCTCGGTGTTTCCGGGTATAGACAAAAGTGATAGATTATCATTGAAGTTTAATGAACGACAACAATACATTAGAATGACGTCTGCAATCCACAAGGAGAGATCATTAGGCACAGTATGGGGCTGGAGCAGACACACATCATTAGGAGGTGACACTCTAATTCTCTGCTCACTATTGTCCCCGGATAATGTCTCTGATGTTCTCCATCATCAAAGGGTAATTACAGCCCATAATAAGCTCCAATCCATATACACAGCACACATAGTGGACACCATGGGACCCACTATCACAGCCAGCCGGGCTATGTACAGCCAACATGTCTGATCTCTGCTCCGTATGTCATACATTGACACATAAATATATTGATAGATATACAGATATTATATGACTGGGTTGAAAAACGCAACTTAAAAATAATGACCATTTACTAATGGAGTATAATCCTGTTCACTTATCAAAAGAGGATTTTTACTGTGCCAGGGAATTTCCCCTTAGCTTAGTGAATGAGGTGACATTCTGCTGACTTCCATCATCCAATCCTGTGCAAGCAAACATTTTTGTTTTCTAACATTTCTTCCACCTGATCGGATATTCTTTTCACCACGTCTCACCACATTCACTTAGCTGAGGGAAAACTCACTATGCTAAGTGAACATGCTCCACTCCTTTAGTAAATTGGCACCTATCTCTCAGATTGTTTCCACACCCACCGCTGTAATTTCTGACCCTACTAGCCTTCCACATGGAGGTGTTGGTATGTCTATGGAAATCATTTCAAAACCTTCATAAGAGCCCAAATATTATACAATTAATTTCACATTTTACAATAATAATAGTAGGAGTTCAATCACTACTAAAACGAAATAAATAAACTGAATTTTCCTTCTGTTCTATCTATCTATCTATCTATCTATCTATCTATCTATCTATCTATTATTTATCTATCTATCTATCTATCTATTATCTATCTATCTATCTATCTATCTATCTCTATATTAATGTATCTATCTCTATATTATCTATCTATCTATCTATCTATCTATCTATCTATCTATCTATCTATCTATCATCTATCTATCTATCTATCTATTATCTATCTATCTCTATATTAATCTATCTCTATATTATCTATCTATCTATCTATCTATCTATCTCAATATTATCTATCTATCTATCTATCTATCTATCTATCTATCTATCTATCTATTTCATACATAGCTCTCATCTGTCTATATATCACATTTTTTATCTATCAATCAATGATATTTACTAGCTAAGGAAGGTGTCCTGATAAAATGTATCTAATAGTAATTGTTGTATTATTTCCAGCACTGCACAGATTCCACTTATTTCATTTTGTGTTAGGAAATTCTGTTTGTGTAAACCAAATTCTATATATTTATATATATAAAGTAGTAGAGTAGATTAGTGAGTTGGGGACCCCCATTGTACTGATATATATATATATATAATGTATAACTATATAAATAATATAGTTTTGGCTGGTCTGATATGATTTGATACATAGATTATTCCCAGTGTGTGATGGGGTGAGATGAGGTGACAGCGTATACAGTAGGAGAACATCAGACCTGACTCCTAATACACCTATTTACATAATACCTTCATTGATGATTGTGAGGTGTAATGAGGTGTCATTAGGTGAGGTGTCTGAAGAGGATCAAAGGATGCCATTACCCTTTCCAAAGACTTCAAGGGACTGGGTGGGCTTGTACCCCCAACACTTCCTCTGGGTCCATTCCACATCTCTCTGGGGATAAAAGTTGTCTAAGGACCCTCAGTCCCACATTCCAACAAACTTCAGCAAGGGGAGCAGACATGGATACTGAGCTGGACCAAGTTCTCTGCACTGTGCTTTCTCTAGAAGAAGACTATCCAACAATGTCTCCACCCCCGAGGTTCCAGGACAATTTCTTTAGCACTCCATGCGTATCTCCTGATGGTTTCTCAGCTACAGAAAGCCAAACAAATCTACAAGGATCCATCACCCTACAAGAAAAGCTGCTGGAAATATACGCCCTTATCAGACTCCAACAAGAAGCACGGGCCAAGAAATCTATAATCCTTAAGGAGCCTGTAGAGAAGGAGGCCAATAATCAGAACCCATTAAAAAGTAAGTCAGTCTATCTATCTATCTATCTATCTATCTATCTATCTATCTATCTATCTATCTATTACCTATTTATCTATCCATCCATCATCTATCTATCTATCTATCTATCTATCTATCTATCTATCTATCTATCTCTCTCTCTCTCTCTCTCTATCTATCTATCTATCTATCTATCTATCTATCTATCTATCTATCTATCTATCTATCTATCTTTCTATCGATCGATCTATTTATTCTCTCTCTCTCTCTCTCTCTCTCTCTCTCTCTCTTTGTCTATCTATCTATCTATTTACTCTCTCTCTTTATTTATCTCTTTTTCATGATCCAGTTATACTTCTGTAAGAGAATATATATATATATATTAGTACATTGTTGAATGATACAATTGTTTTTCTATCCTCCTAAATCAAATGTTCATAATTTTGAGTTAACCTATTTTTTTAAAGTTATTTCATTTTGAATGATCTGAAATGTATGTGAGCAACAAATATTTGTTTCTCTTTATAATTCAGTTAACATTTTTTCCCCACATAATATAATTGTTGTATACACCCATTTACACTGTGGGTGTTGATGGGCATGTGTTGGGTTGTTCTGACTTATGTCACGCACCATTAAAGTTGTCTGCTCTATATTTTTATTTTTTTAATTTATTACATATAACATATTTTTAAAATATTTTATTTTAGTATGTGATGTTTTTTTTTATTTTATTTACATTTTTCCACTTTGCCAAAACATGAGTGTATATGAGGTAATGGCTTGATTGGCATAATTATAACTAATTCTCACTGTGCTTCTTTCTAGGAAAGTTGGGGGAAGATGAGAATGAGGGATGCAAGGAACCCGGAGACAAGGCTGAGGATCTCCAGAACGGCAATCCATATAAAAGGTATAGAAAGAGGACAAACTACAACAAGGAACAGATCACCTTCCTGATGAACGAGTTTGAACGCAACCCCTATCCGGACTTCACGAGGAGGTGTCGCATTGCCAAGATAACAGGGATTTCAGAACCAAGAATACAGGTAAAAAACATTTTTTTTGTACAAAACAGTTTACCACTTAATATTATTTGTTGTATATTATCAGGGTTATTCACAAAAGGGTGAAGAGTTTGGAGAAGGCAAGTGAACAATCTAGGACAAAATAGCCGAACTGAAAAGTGAGCAGAATTGGAGAATTCTTCCAAATCAGCTATTTTGTCCTAGATTGTTCACTTCTCCTTCCTTCTCCTTTTGTGAATTACCCTGTATATGATTTTAAACGTTAGTGCGCAGTCACATAATTTTTTGTCAAATATTTGTATTTTTTATATAAGTGTTACTTGGGGATTGACTAACACTGCCCTATGCAGTAATGTATTTGGCTCTGACCTAGTCACTGAACCTTATGAACACAGTATTAGTAATCCCGGATTTGATCCACATTGCCACCTTCTAGTGAATTCTGGGCGTAGGGCGTTTTTCCGCGTGTTCCTACGTGCTGAAATACGCCCAGGTGGGAACCATGTCCATAGGCAATTATTAGTTTTCACATGCTGAGCGTTTTACAGCGCGTCGATCAGCGCTGTAAAACGCCCAGGTGTGAACCAGGCCTAAGAGAGGGTTCTTCTGCTGTGTCAAGGAGAGCTCTGTGAATGTCGGACCTATTTGGTTTAAAGTGCATGTCGGGGCAAGCTGCAATATACTGTATTATATTTCTGTTCCTGGGTTAAGATACTGTAAGAAAATGACACGAAATATGATTTTTTTATGTCATATTCCTTTTCTCGAAGCATAGGGTGGAAAAGTTCAATAATAGATGATTGTTTCTGTTGTTGCATAAAGTTCAGAATGTGTTTAATTTAAAGTTACAAAATATTACAGGATATGGTATATCTTACAGAATGAGTCTATAAGATGCTTGATGATGACAAAATATAGTATATCTTACAGCAGAAATCTATAAGATGCTTAAGAAACATGTCTTTTAGTTAGTAAGTAAAAATAGTCCTAACAGGTGTCTGTCTATTCAATGTGAGTGTGGGTGTGTCTGTGTGATGCTGTGCGTGTGTGTGTGTCTGTAGTGTGAATGTGTGAATGTGTCCCCTTGAAGGATCATCCCTCATCCTTTTATCCATGCTTTAACTTTAAAATAACCTATGTGATGTTTACCTTAAAAGTCTTTCTGATTAGCATAAGGGAGTGCCATACTCTAGTAGCTGAGTCATGTGTTCTCCTTCTATCCCATTTTGGGCATCATAGTCTATGTCCTGAGTAATGTGGTTTATTCTTCAAACTCATTTTAAAGGCCAAGTCTTCTTTGGGCATTCCCAACAACTGTTTCAACTATACTTAGGTCTGCCTGTCAGGCTTACTGATTGATTACCAATTGTAAACTCAAAATCAGCAGTACAGTAAAAAACTGAATCTCTAAACTTGGATAGATTAAAATATAGAAAATCAATCATCATTTAAGGTTCACACATACATATTTCAATATCTG